TATATAAACACATGTATCGGCAGTAAAAATAGAACTATTAACGTATATGGTGCTTATTTTAGAATGTATGTTTCATTCACTTAATAATAATTAATAGTAAAAAAATATGTTTCGCATTATCCAGTTTAAATATAAAATATTTTTACTATTAGACAGCTTTCTAATAGATAATAAATATTTTTAACATACTGTATATACGATTCGTGAAAAGTACTAACCTACAATGTTAAGGAAGTGTCCTTTTTTCAATCATTTCCACTGGTAAAGTTTTTTTAATTCATATCAACCTTTTCTTTTGTCTGGAAGTAAATTCAATTGAAAAATGAGCATTTCTTTACAGATTGATTTTAGAAAATAAGAACTACGGTCTCTTTAATTTTTAATTAAGACATTTTTCTCATATACCTTTCCACAAATACCTTTGGTACATTAGTTTTAGTTTACAATGACATGCACAGTTAAAGGACAATTAATATTATTTTATATTTTAAAACAGCCACAGTCAGTATTATTTTTTAGTTTTAAACTGTATTTCTTTTTTATTTGATCACGTTGCTTTATTTATACTTGACGATGTCTGTTGTTGACAATATATTTGAATTAATTTAGTATACCAACGCAGACGACATTTACAATCATTTAAATGACAATTTAATTAAAATTTTGCTATATTTACACAACTCATATATCTTCAAATATAATTATTTCCTATTACTAAATAAATGAATTGATTCTATGGAATAAATTATTTATAAAAATAAACTGTAAAAATTGTTAATTTAAAAAATGATCTCTCGCAAGTAATTTTTGTTAGTTTTATCTCTTTATTTTTAATTATCACTGATAACAATCAGAATATACTTCAGATATGACTCTTTTGCTTATGTACATACTATAACTATGAAATGTGAGCCTTGTACATACTGTATTCTTAAATTTTTATATTTTATATATCTATAAAAGTAACTACAACAAATGTAAAAGTTTCTAGAACTTTTCACTTTACATGTAGCCTAAACATTTACATATAAATTAACTTTGTAATATTGTGAACAGAAACGGGAAGTGTTGCTTTGTATTTCATTCATCTAATTGAATTGTAAAAGCAGCTTATTACATATAAAACGTGTTCATATTAAGGGTCAATGCTCTAGTTATGTAATTGTATATATTGTTTGAACCTAGGACTAGGTATTTTACCATATTTATTTCTCTACATATTTGAACTATTGTAAAAGTATTAAAACCTTTCCTCAAAAATTAAGTTATACAACTCTCAACTCAGGTATTTTTTTTGAAAATATAATTTTTACAAAGCGCTGTGCGGTTTTTTTTTAACCCTTTGAAGTATCCTGCATCATTAACGGTAAATTTATGGAAAAAAAACGACATATCGAGGAACTAATACAAAGTCAATAACATAGACATACAGGGTGTAAAAAAACGACTGTTTCCTTGAAATAAAAAAATTCTACAATCTCGATCCAATGTCAAAGTGACGCTAAGTGTTTTTTTTACTTTTATTGGAATTGTGCATTTCGAATTTTTGCCTGATGTTGAAGTTGCGAACCCTGTGTATAGACTGATCAAAATAACTCCTTTAGAGGAAAAAAGAGATATAGATTATAAATGCTTGGGCGGACGTGATAGAGGGTAGATTTGGGGGGTTGAAAAGTGGTGAATAATGATATTATTGCGATTATCGGCGAAAGTTGACGTCAAAAAAAGTGTTCAATACAAAAGTTGTAGATCATGTAAAAATCTACAACTTTCGTAGAGGTCATTTTTAAAGTTAACCTCAAAATTTCCGAGAAAAATGGGAATAATCGCCTTTTATTTTTAGTTTATTTTTAGTTTTTAGTTAGTTTAGGTAGTTTAGTTTAGTTTTTTTATTTTTCATTTCAGCAACAACAATTTAATTTTGACGAAACTTGGTGAAAGTAGATATACCTTTCTGTGTCAATTAATCACAAATTTTTTTAGATAAAAAAAACAAGAAGTTTCCAAGATATTCATTTTTTCTGGTCAGAAACACATTTTTTATCAAACAAAAATTCTACTTAGAAAAATCATTCTGGTGGTGTTCATTTTTTTTTGTTTTGACTTATAGGTACTTTTTACTAAAATAAAAACATGTATAAACACACTTCAAAAACCTGCTAAAAAATGCAAAAAATGACATGGATGAGCTGATTGATTCTTTGACATAACATAACTTTGGGAAAAATTAATCTTTTGATGTGAAATTTGGAGTGGTCTTATATTGTTCCTGTAAACAAATCAGTAATAAAAAATAACTTCCTTTTTTATTTTAAAGAACATTTAAAATTTTATAAATTTTTGAATTTTTTCTAAAAAACAAAAGAAATTTTTGAACAGTTTTTCACTTTAACTAACTTCTTTACTTAATTGTTTTATAGATTAGCATTGTTTCGGTATTACACAAAATTATTTGATTTCGAACAATTAAACAACGTTTCTTTTGTATGTTTTTCCATACAATTGAATGGTGTAATCAGTTTTTCTTTGTTTTAAAAAATTTAAACAAGTTATCAACAATTACTGAAAAATTCATTGTTGCAAGTCATTTTTTGTTTTTTATTTGCATTTTTTTTAAATTGTGATTATACATTTTTTATTTTAGCAAGAAGTATATGTCAAAACGAAAATAATGAGCACCGGCAGAATTGTGTACGATAATTTTTCTAAATAGAATTTTTGTTCGAAAAAAAATGTGTTTCGGACCGGAGAAAATGAATATCTCAGAAAGTTCTTAATTTTTTTAACTAAAAAAAATATGTGGTTATCCAATACACAGAAAGGTCACCAAGTTTCGTCAAAATTAAATTATTTTTGCGGAAATGAAAAATAAAAAACGAAAAACAAAAAAAAAAGACGATATTTTGCATTTTTCTCGGAAAGGAGATGAATTTTTCGAGACAAAACGTTTGAATCTGGTCCGGATTTTAGGCAGTACAGTATTGATTGGGGGTCATGAAGGCTTGTAAAAATGTAATAAAATTTCCAGGGTCGTATTTAAAGAAATGAAGTTGATAATGGTCCTGGAGAGACGAAACGTTACCATATAAAAATTGTTGATGCCATTCGATAGAGAGCAAAAAGTTGGCATGAGAAAGTGTTCGTCTTTTTTCAATATCACCTTATGAGGCTGATATGAAACAAAAACGGATTTCCAAAATTTCGGTTTTTTTAAATATTTCCAAAACTCATCATGTTAGCCTTGATTTTTTAGAGCATAATGTTGGTCTCCTTATTACGAAACTTTGCCCCCATTTAAGCTACTTCGTACCTCTTACCGTTTTCGAGATCCCTGTAGTGAGAAGCGAATTTGTAACAATCTGTATAAACACCTTTTTAGGTGTTAGTTAAATTATTTAACTGTTTCATCAGCAATACTTAAAAGCTTACTATATAATTTAATATATTACAATTCTTTTGTGAACAATGAAATAGTCAAGCTACGTAAATCTGCGATTTTCGCATTTTTTCCGTACAAGGGTAGTTTTCACCCCAAATAGAAAAAAGAACACATCTACCACAATATAACTTTTGAAGTGGGGGAGGTCAGATGAGCTTGTATCCAAATTTTCAGGAAAATCCATGCTATTCGAAAAAATTGGGAACTTCTACCTTATTTTCGCCTTCAGTGACTGGACTATAAGGGTAGTAGCTTCTACCCCTTTCATTCGAGAGGGAAGATCAAGGAAATTCCCAGTAAATGTCTTTTCGGTTGTAGAAAAAGGATACGTAATTTAATTTTTACAATTTTCTCCATATTTAGGAAAATAAAAACTAAATTTTTGTGTCCCTGTTTGAATTGCTATAAGCCTGCAAGAGATGGGGGATTGTGTTTATTTTCAAAGAATTACCTTCATTTTTTCTTACATATATTTAAATTAGGCATCACCCAGTGTCTTTTTCTATCAGCACTGAATCCTCGTTAAATCTTTCATTTCCAAGTAAAGTATTGACGAGCGAATATCCGGCCTGTTCAGCGGAAAAGTAAAAATAAAATTATGTAAACACACATACCAATTATTCGAAATCCACAAAGGCATTTTCAGACGTGGATATGTTTTGTACCGTAAATTGTGCAGGCTGATGCTGAAAAATGCTCCGTTTGTGTGCAAGTTATTTTTTGAGCAAAGCTCGTTTAATCGGCATTACACAGAACGGTTCGCTATAAATTTCCGTGGAAAATCCTATAGATCGGCTGCGCCATTCGTTCTGTTAAATTTTTAATTAATAAAATCCTTTGATATACCGGTAGGGGCCGGACGAAACACCTCCTGCAAAACGCAATTCGGACGACTCGCGCTGCTCAAATGGCTTACCGCATAAATTGTATTTTATTGTGCGCTAATTGTATTTATTTGCTTTGGTATTGTCCCGGCTCCGTACGCGATGGTCTCTGTATTCTACTTTTGTCGCCGTTACCGGTTCTCCAACGCCGTATATTAAATAATGTCCTTAAAAACAAAATAATGACACAAAAGAAAAATCGTCTTATTTATTTTTGCTCAACTTTCCAATCAGAACCACGAAGTTGTCTCCAACTACTTGATGCAGGGCCAAACTACCCTTCACAAAAAGTAGAAAGTGCGAAAAATAAAATTTTCGACTATGTTTCCAAAATTTTCGCTGAAGTTTTCCACGAAGCTCCTAGCTCCCCATGAATGCCAAATCCGCTATAGAAATAAAAACAATCAGCTCAGTTTCGGATTTAGAAAATTAAAAACTTCATAAAATGTTAAATTCAAACAAATCACAGTACCACTTCAGACTACAAGTCCATCATTTCCAGGCAACTACAATACAAAAATGAGTACAATCCAAAGAGGCTAATTGTTCAAACTTAAGGTAGACTTCAGTACTGGGTCTCTGGGGACCTATTAAG